CGAGCTTGTTGACGTTCGATCCATTCACATAGAAGTGCATAGTGTGCTTGTCAAACTCTGGCTCGTCGCCGTCAGCTTCAGGATCTGGAACACCTTTGAAATTGAATAATATACTGATGAGATGGTGATAATGATGACTCGATGATGATGATGAAGATGATAGTATTGAAGCTAATGATGATGACGATGGCGATGTTTCGTAATGATATAGACATCATGATGTGACGTTGCTATGTCATGTCGCTATATGTTATTGGTAAAGTTAAATCAGATCTGGCACTGTACTCCAGCTTTCTCGAATTGGCTGCATCAACAACATCAACCGGAATGGATGTCATGACCTTCGGAGCCTTTGTCAACACCGGAGGATCATTGCCTTGCGGACACATTGTGTGAAGCGGTTCGTGGCATCAATCAAACTCACGATCTACAACAGCACAGTTACAATCAAGACACGCATGCGGCATACAATGCATCAGATATCACTTCTGATCCAAGACGCTTAGCTCACCCCAGAAATGGCACTTGAACTGCTTCCGGAAGTCAACTGTCGTAATGTCATTCAGCATGGCCTTTACCACATTTGCCTTTGCCCCGGCACTTTGATCCTGCCCTGCATTCTTGATCAGCTCATCCAACTTTGCACATGGTGGCAACTTCAACAGTGGTTCAATGCTAGCAACACTCTTGTCGCCCTTCTCAGTCGTGATCACATGAAAGCACATGTGGTGGTTGCACCGGTGCGTGTCCTCATACTGCCTGCACGACAACTCACCACACAGCTCGACAGATCATGGACGCAAGCATGACAGCGCACAACAATCAGTCCGTTCAGAAGGCCATACATCAACAAACGATCGCACACTGTGCCAGTCCATGTCCTAGCAACAACCTAAAACTTATATGACAGCACATAGACGTATGCCGGATGCCGCAGGATGATACTAGTTTGTTAGCTACATACTACATACACACACTATTAACTATTAAAGTTCAGTCTGCCTCGACTTCATCATCATGTCTGCGGCAAGATGAAGTCTGAATGCATGAAGCGACTCGGTGGTGGGCCACGGGTTTGCACTGGCATCTGATGGTGCGGTGTTGTCTGCACTCAGACGGCTAATGTTGGCAATAGAAAGCACCCGACTGGCAGACGATGCTGGCGATGATTGGTGTCGTGCCCGAGACTTGTCAGTTGTCGAAGATGTGCTTTCCTGTGCTGTCGTGGCAGCCTCTTGATGGGTGCTGTTGTTGATGTCCTCCGTGACTTCTTGGAGTTTGAATGTCTGCTTGCTAAGCAGTGCTGTGAAGGCTGTCCCATATGCACTTGTCAAACTGTCTGCTTCAGCAGAACCGATTCCGCAACATGCATCCATTTGGTGGATGATTGACTCATGCTGCGACACCAGATCGCGTAGCTGGGCACTCTCCATGGCAGTCCGTCCATGCAAGGCAATCAAACATGCTTCGGTCACGTAGTTGGCCCGCAACTTCGTCAAGCCTTTGATGCCATCGAGTGAAAATGTGTTTCGGATGAAGTCAGCGTCAGCATGCTCGCGAAGTGCCGGGTG